CGTCTCTCTCTCTTCTTCTTCTCTCTCTCTCTCTCTCTCTCTCTCTCTCTCTCTCTCTCTCTCTCTCTCTCTCTGTGCGTGCGTGCGTGCGAGGTTGTGCGTAGATGCATACGCCTACACATACAGAATTAAAGGAAATATCGGGAGCAAAGGAGGAGAAAGGTACAGAAAGGTGCGTATATTAAAAGTCTCGACGTATTCCTCATGGATACATACTAAAATTTTCAAGACAATTGATAAAAATTCAAGTCATATAAATAATTTAAATCGGACCGTACAACAATAAAGTAACGTTAAGAAAAGGGAGAGACGTAAGACTTTGAAAGAGCTTCAAGAATCTTCAGTTTTGTTAAATAAATTAAGAAAGAAAGGCGAAAAAGAAAAGATGATTTGTACATCTGCAAATTGTGTAAAGACATTGATCAAAGACATTGTAACTGGCACTTAATGATATTAATTATACGCGATATATAATGACGTGCCCGAAGCGAGGTACGATTACTCGTATAATAGATGGAGAGAAAAAGGGCGAGGGATATTCAGCGGGAAACCGTGCCGAGCTAGAAGCTGTCAAATACATAATTTGCAAAACGAGCGAGGTTCACCAATTGGAATTTGTGATGAAATAAATTTTTGGTGCAGGAAGCCGTGAAAATTTAAGCGTTATCACTGTGAAATGTATTCGTCGCAGTTTTGCACGTTCTCATGACAAAAGTTCATTAAAAGCGTACATTGCCAATTTTTTATTTTATTACAGATTTTATTGCGATAAACTTTGATGTTTTAAATTTTCATCTACTACTCGACAATTTAATCCTCTAATAATTTAAATCTTGGTTTTTGAAATCTTTTTTTTATATTCTAATTTATATTCTATTTTCAAAAATATCTAAATTAGAAAATATTCAAATTAAAATATATATAAATTGTTTTTTATTTTTTAATTATATTTCTGATAAATAAATGGGAAAAATCTATTTTATTTTATTTTAAATTAGATAATTTTGATTCTAATATTTATCTATTTTTCAAATTTATTTTATATATTTATTATATGTATTATTTGTAAATGTTTTAAGTATAAAGATGAAGATGGAGGTAAACACAAGAGATGGTCTTATAAATAGAATTTATTACGGATTTATCTCTCCGAATGCTTGATATCGATATATTGCGTCGAGATTCATTGGTAAGGAAAGCTTCTTAAGTTCTGAATTGCATTGTCGAATATTGTTGGAGGAAATGATGAAGAGCGGGGAATGTAACGGAGATTGGCATTCGATAATATTGGTTCCTCGAAGCATTCGAATGTAATTTCTATTGGCGCGTGGAAAGCGGGCTTATAATGCTAGTAGGATGATGCAAGTTTGCTTGCTTGCTGTACTTCATTGCTTTGTATTAAATATTATATTGGCTATCGCTATTTCCGAATGTCCAATAATTGTCGGACTTATCGATGTATTAGTACAAGCACTGGACACACGCGACATAAGATGACGCATAATTGTTAACATCTATTATTATACATCTATTATTATAATGCGTACAACTAATGCACATGAATAATCATCTTGAAATAATATATAAAACATATATACTTAAGGGAATGCTGGACTTGTCCGTATTACCGACAAAACGTAGTAATTTTGTATTGCTCTCATTTTTTATTAACTTTGTAGATTTGGAAATCCTTTTCCACAATTAAAGTTTATGCATTAATATGTGTTGTTTAGCACATGAATTTCATATCAAGAACGAGAAAAACATTTTAAAATTTAAATCTTTTTTACCATTTGGCACTTTAAAATCTGCGTCCAAAGCTGTCAAGTCGCGTCAAATTTGCTTCATATAAAAATTTTAGAGCCTGTACCTACAAAACTGATATTACTAGACTAGAAGATTACATGAAGGAGCAACGTTGAGTTCTTAGAATTAGGCTTAGACACTTATTACGATCAGGGGAGCATCACAAAAATTTGTTTATATGTGTATTATGTGTGTGCAGAAATGTATGAATGAGTGTATGTATGTATAAATGTATGTATGTTAGATATGAATATATGTGAACGTTTTCGTCGGAGTTTGCTTGTCAGTCCAGGATCCCCTTAAAGTTGCATATATAATCATTCATATTACATTCATGGTGAACTAAATTTTCATTCTCTATCTGTTTATGAAAAAGCCTGTAGAGTCAGTCGGTAAGTCGATTTGCATTGCAAAACGTAAATTTAGCGGTAAACTAAGTATTTATATGCAAATTGAAATTGAAGATATGATTGATAGCGATTTTCTAATTATTAATACCAAATATCTTTTATTTTCTTAATTAAACGAATTAGAAAATCCTGTTTTAAATAACATTTTAAATAATGTTTTATATATATATATATATACAATTTAATTAGCACAATTGCATTATTTTAATCCGTTGCCATTATTGCCATTATTCATATTCGGCTATGCAGCACATTTATTTAACGAGAAAACACAGCTATTGATCGTAAACACTGCATCATATATAATTCACATTTTGCTAATGATATCGTATGTCGGGAGATATTATCGCAATCAGACAAAACCAATGCAATTTTTACCTTAAAAAAAGATTTCTTTTTATAGACAATATTTCAATCTAAAATATTTGCAGATTAAATGAAACACGAAGCTAGCTATTACCTAACGTTATACGGAATTTCTGAATATGAAATATCTAAAACTCGAGAGCTGTTCAAATATTTTTCAAATCGAACGAAAAATATATCAAATTCAAATAACATATTTTTATTAAAAATACGATCGCTTCCCGAGAATGATGCGTGTGTATATGCGAAACTTTTAACTATTTTATTAACAGAATAAAAATAAATGATATTATTTAACGAATTTTCTGTTAATCATTTTCTTATACATTTGAACAAAATTTCTAAATATTCACAAGTCCCATCTCGAAGATGATTTATTTTCTACGAAAGAAGAGATCGAGCCAAAAGCAAAGTTAATTGCAAAGTTATAATTTTATTTGCTTAACAAAAACCTTATTCGAGGCAGTAATAGAGCAGTAAAAAGATCAATGCATGAATTTTCCAAACGCGGAAAGAGCAACATTAGAAGCCGTATAAATCGCTTCGAGTATCGCCGAAAAGAAACGAGTCACAAATAGCTTTTTTGCTTCTGACACGAAGAAAGCCAGAGAAATGATTTCCACGGAGAAAGATTCGGGCCAATTTGTTCGCATCCTACGTTCCCCACGGACATCGACAGGGAAAAACGTCGATGGATGA